TTTTAACTTTTAAAGATTTTTTTAAAACTTTTAAAGATTGACACCCTAAAGCAGATATCTCAGTTCTTAAAAAGGTGTCTATTATCAAATGGCAAAGAGGAAAGAAATCTTCCATGACAATATAAATAGATTTTTAATAACTTTTTTGCAGGTTAGATTGCTCCCTAAGGTTATGATTTCTATGTTATGAAAAGATATGCAGTGTTCGCTGTCTGGGTGCAGCTGAGGGGAGGTGAGCTCACCGGAGCGCTGCATTTACTGAGCAAATAAGCAGCTAACTCTGATCTCAGCAAATATGAGGATTTACACTAGGGCGTATTTGAAGAACTGTGTGATTGTGTGTGTGTGTGTGTGGGTGTGCGTGTGTGCGTGTGCGTGTGTGTGTGCATGTGTTAGCACTTTGAATATGTGAGGAGGTGTATTTACTGTAAACCAAGGAGGAGATATGGAGCGACCACATAATGAATCTGTAGGACATATTACAAATTACACATTATACTTTAAGGACATCTAACAGATAGATAATATTTATAAGACCCTACAGCAGATATGACTTTCAATTCAATTAATGTATCTATCAAACGCACCATTTATTTATTTATTTATTTTGAAGTGTTTTGCAGTCACCTTCTGATGTGTTTTTGTTTCCTCAGTGTAAGAAGCACAGGTCGCAGCAGTACATGAAGACAGAAACTCATTCTCATAAAAGCATCCTCACGGATCCAGCAGCTCCCTCATAACATCATTTTAAGTGGATTACAGGGCTTTAGTTAGATTAGGTGGTATTAGTAAGAAGAAGCAGCATCCAACACAAACGCAACCAATACAGAAGAGTGACATTGAGAACAGTATCAAGAACCACTGCTTGCACTACTGTACGTGAAGAGTTTGTTATCAACAAGGACACATATTTACTTTTTTTTTGTTGCCAAAATCTGAATCTCTAATAGCTGTTGTTATTAATCAGTAACACTTTATAACAAGGTCTCATTTATTAACATTTATTATTTACATTTATTATTATTAACAATAATTTTTTAACCTTTGTTGATGTCAATTAACAAAAATGTTCATGTTAGTTCATAGAGCATTAACTAATGTTAACAGATACAAGTTTGATCTTACAAATGTATTAATAAATGTTGAGATTAACATTAGATTAATAAATGCTATAAAGTATTGTTTAAGGTAACTAATGTATTTAACGTAAACAAATGAAACCTTATTGAAAAGTTTTAGCTTAAATGCTATGCAATTTGTATAAATAAAAAATAAAACACTAAAAACTACAGTTGCAAATAAGTTATTAAATAAACAATCAATTGTAAAAAAAAAAAAAAAAAAAAATGAGTGAATTTAGGCATCACAACATAACATCATAATGTATAGTATGAAATACAGATATTCGTTTAATGTCTAAAACTATGTATGTATATGACACAGTATGAGAAGAATAAACACTGAAAATATTAAAAGTAATCAATATGTAAAGGGGGGGGAAGGCATGCACAATTAAATAGGTCTCTAATAACTTTAATTAAAACAAACTCTAATAATTAGCCACACTGCAATCAATCAATCAATCAATCATACAAATCTTACTTAGTATTTTTGTCTTTTGTTTTCCTGTTGTTTTCTGTAAAAAAGAATTTGCAACATTTTGTGAGTTTAGCTTAAAACAAGGTCAAATATCTCCCAATGGCAATTCCTTAGAAATTAAGTTCATTTTTCCTACCCCATTTTTTACTTGTTTAAACTTAAACTAACTTCATTTTGATACATTTTCCAGAAACAAGACTATATGTTAAACCTTTTTTTTTTCTCAAGTAAATGTGTCTTGACTTAAGAATGTTAAGATATTTGTACTGGAAAACAAGACAAAAATACTGAGGAAAATTATTTGTTTGCAGTGCAGTAGCCAATAAGGTACAGCTATGCATCTGCAATTGTCAGGGTGTCTATCACTGTACAGGGAGAAGACAGCATGTTTTTTTTTTCTCTGATATGCATATATGGGGGTCATCAGGAGTTCATGGTTCATCCCCCAGGATGTGAGCTACAGAGTGGGCAGGTAGGGCAAACGCTGTACACACTATCCACAGATTAACTGATCTCAGTCGTCTCCTAGCAACACAACACTATCTATTCACAGCCACGGGAGTCACCCGAGTTAGACCAACTCTGAAGCTGAAGAGGATACACTCTTCAAAAGGCAGAAGATGAATGAGAGTAAGTCAGCAAAAGAGAAAAAGAGCAAGGGAAGCACAGAGAGACAAAAGAAAGAAGAGGAATGCAGAAAAGACATTTGTCAGTGAGGTACATCTACTCAACTTGCACTAAATGACCTCATACAACCTGGCAGGCGATGCCAAAGAGAGCACTGTTGTACATTTACTGACATCAGGGTGCGTGGGGCTGTTATGGATCCCTCTGTTGGGATTACATTGAGTGATGCTGGTGGGTTTTATTGCCACTTGGAAATGGTACAACTGTTGGGGGAGGTAGAGATTATGGGGTAAAATATGAGCGAGTGCTTTGTTTTTTTCTCTCTGGTTTCTATTAATGCTCCATCCCTTTCGTGCAAGATGTTTTTAGATGGATGATTATGATATAAAAGTGAAAGTAATTCATACGCTTCGTATTACTCTATGTTAGACCCCTAACCACACACTATCCTGCAGGGTTGGACAAAATTCAAAGTCGATAATTTGGCTGTATTAAAAATAAAACTAATAAATAAATCTTTCATTTAAAAGCATTAATAAATACATATGTCAAATAAATGCATCAATGTCAAATGAAAGATTTATTAATTAATAAGAATCTTGCAGCCTTCTATATTCTTCCACCCTGGTCCATAAAAGTTAATTTATTAATTGGTGAAAATATGCTAGAGTTCAGGGTTTATGGTTATTTATTTATTTATTTAAGATTCTTTTAATGCATAAAAAGTTCAAAAGAACAGCATTTAATTGAAATAGAAATTTTTTGTAACACTATAAATGTCCTTACTGTCACTTTTAATCGATTTAATCCATGCTTGATGAATAAAAGCATTCATTTCTTTAAAAAAAAATCTTGCTGATCCTAAACCTTTCACTGATAGTGTATAAAATATATATTTTTTAATAGTTTCTTTAATTCATTGTCTCTGTCTGCAAGGCAGATAAACCTATAAATTTCAGGGCTTTTTAAACCTGTCAAGCTATAACTGAAAGTTATACTTGACAAAGTTTGTTTTTAGTGAAAAATTAGAGTTGAACACGAATTTTAGAATTCAGAAATGGAACTGTAATGTAAAAGTCATTCTCACTTCAGTTCTGAATTTTAGAAGTGCACAAGCTTGCCGTCCTATAGCCTCTATCTGATACAAGTCAGTTTGGCAAATGTCTCCTCAAGGCAAAGTAGCTGCAGTACATTTCAGTTCATTGTTTAGATTGTTGAAAGTCATAAATTATAAATGCAGACCTAGAAAAAATGAACAGGACTTGCATGACAGCCTGAACCTGATTATGAGGATAATAATTAGTGCCGTATATATTTAGACCTGGTGTCTTGCTTTAATTTTTAACATAGTCATTTGGCAGGCCAAATCAGCCTTATGCTCTGTTTCTGTCCAAGTAACTAATGACAGTGTGTTAATATTTAATATTGGCCTAATAATTTTCCTTGCTTAGCTCTTTAGGTGTAGGTAGATCCATTTGGGAACCATTTCCTTTGAGGAATAATGACTTTATTAAATTAAATGACAAAGTTTTG